AAAGAAAATAAAAAATCAAACAAAGAAAACCGAAGAAGGAAAAGCATACAAAAAGTAAAAACATTGAAAGGATCCCACCTCTCATCTTGCTTCCTCTACCTCGAACCACTCAAAAATCCTCTAAGAGGAAAAACAAAAAGGGAACCATACCAAATGGAGGTCGGAATCTAAGACACACAAATATGATTGTTAATTATATTGACAGAAATGAACAATACAAAAATTACCAATAGCAAATAGAATGGGGAGGTTCTTCAGCCTCTCAGAGACACTTTCCACCAGAAACAGAAGCTGTTTTCCATTCATAGCTGAGGCTTGTATTCTGAAGAAAATATTAATTGAAAATGACCAATGACCTGTAAATTCAAGAGGCATATATATATATATATATATATGCTAGAATTCATCACATAGACTATATAGCAATGAAAATCCACAAATTTTTTAAGCATGAGAATAAGAAAAACATGACTAAATAATTCAAAGAATTATCAGATGAAGCAAATTATAAGAATGAGCTTCACTTTATGGAAATTCATCAAATTTGTTCATAATAAGCCATAAACTTCAAATAAGAAAAAGAAAAGAAAAGCAAAATGGATTCAACAATTACCTGCTCAAGGTTCAACTTCGTTGATTTCTCTTTTTCCTATGAAATTTTGCAACTTAACCAACATTGCATTTTTCCTATTCCACTGATAATGATACAAAGAGCAGAAAAAACTTTTTATTTCATTTTTTTACCTAAACATAGTAAGACCCGCCTTGTTCTCCCTAAGAAATGAAATGGAGTCCTTGAAATTCTCTCTTGTAGGTAGATAGTCACTACTGTGAGGCCAAATTGCCTGTTGAAGTAACAAAAATTAAAGACCAAGATTAGGAAAATTTTCAACTAAAAAGGAGCACGAAATTACTAAACCAAGCCAATTTTAAGAATTTAACATCAGTTCTAACTTTAACAATTTTCAAGAAATGGGAGACATCTTAACAATAATTGTGTGAATTTGTTAAAGGCTGAAGATAAGAATAGATGTGCATATAAAATATTAGCTAGAAGATTGATGAAATATTTCACCCTGTTTTCTTATTAATATACCAATGTTGATTTCTTATTACACAAACAGACCTACTTACACAGTAGGACGTCAAACTGAAGAAACATAAATATATAAATACATATGCATATATACATAAAAAAACAACTGAATATTCAATAAAACTTCTTTATTCAATTGCATACCATTTGTAATATTACATAAAGGAGATCAATTTAACACTTAGGAGGTATCT